TTCTTTTGTCCGCCGATTAGCTGACTTTGTTTATTCATATCTTTCCGTGGTTTGATACATAATGGGACCACGTGGAAGAGGCGGCAATTTTAGAGGCAGAGGAGGACGAGGGGCTCGTGGAGGACGTGGAGGACGTGGTAGAGGGAGAGGATTCAGTCGCTATGGGCCTATGAGGCGGTTTGAAGGCGACCGACTGGCAGATAGGGATGAGTAAGTCTTTTGATATTCTTTTGGGGTCCGAAGTCGGGATAATAGTATGGATATTTACAAGCCAATTAGGGAAATCGAGTCGGAATCTGGAGGTGATTCTCAGGATGAGCAAGATGAAGCATTGGCCGCCAGCGCTTCTGATGACGAGGAGGAAACGCCAGCTGCTCGCCCATATATGGCTCTGTTGCAGAGTTTCAATGATTCCAGTGCCCCCACAGCAAAGAGGCGGAAACTAGAGCACAGTGATTATTCACCACAAGCCGACAGCTCTAAAGATGAGGACATGGAGGCAGCAAGTGATCATGATCAGGGGGACGTGGATGAGGTTGATGAGGCTGAGGATGTCAACAACAATGACGATCAACTTGAGGAGGAGGAGCCCGACTCTGAAGATGACGAGGAGCTCACGGATTCGTTTGACGCTCATTTTGCGCATCCAAATGACCAGGAAGTCGGACAGGCCGTTAGAGCAGTCAAGAACGACGACTGGGTTACGACGAGAGCGTTTGTTTCATCATTACGAGCTACCATGATGTCTGCTGGCTCTGGTAGCAAGATGGATGTCCCTCATCCTTGCGGTATTGAAGAGTTAAAGCTCAAGCAGAAATTGCAGGAGATGGCTGCCAAGAAGATGGATAAGCCGGACGAGACACAGAGGGCGATTCTGCCACTGCTATTTGGATACAAAGATATTTTCCACTGCGATCGTACGATAAAGAATGCCACAGGTTTGCGACAAGCGGTGTGTTTACATGCGCTGAATCATGTTTTCAAGTGAGTTTGCTAACCGAGCTCGTTGCGTTATATCGTTGGCTAACACTGTTCCAGGACGAGGGATCGTGTAATCAAGAACAGCTATAAGCTAGCCAAGGAAAGTGAGGACACAGAATTAGAACTTCGAGACCAAGGCTTCACCCGGCCCAAGGTTCTCTTCCTACTACCGACGAGAAATTCTTGTGCTAAGATTATCAACATTATACGCGACATGTGCGACCCCGACCAGCAAGAAAACCGTAAAAGGTTCGACGACTCATACATTGAAAAAGAATCCAATTTCGGACATGACAGACCCGAAGATTTCAGATTTCTCTTTGAAGGCAACGACGATGACATGTTTCGGCTTGGAGTCAAATTCACCCGCAAAACAATCAAGTTTTTTTCCCAGTTTTACAGTTCAGATATCCTCCTCGCTAGTCCCCTTGGTCTTCGAATGGCAATTGGCTCTGAAGAAGAGAAGAAGAAGCCCGACTATGATTTCCTTAGTTCCATTGAAATGGTCATTGTCGACCAAGCCGATGCGCTGCTCATGCAAAACTGGGAACATGTCGAGTACATCTTTGAGCACTTAAACTTGCAACCCAAGGATGCGCATGGCTGTGACTTTAGTCGTCTTCGAAATTGGTACCTCGAAGACTGGGCGAAATACTTCAGACAAACCATTGTTTTGTCTGCTTTCAATACCCCTGAGCTCTCAGAGCTCCAAAGATCGTATTGTCACAACTGGGCTGGAAAGGTTCGGCTGCAGCCCGAATACCACGGCATGATCCAGCAGCTCGGTATCAAAGCAAAGCAGACCTTTTCACGGTTTCAGTCGTCCTCTGTCGAGAAGGATCCTGACGCAAGATTCGAATACTTTGTCTCGGCCATCGTACCAACCCTGGCCAAGCGTGTCAAGGACACGACGGGCACGCTGCTGTTCATTCCCTCGTATCTCGACTTTGTCCGCGTTCGAAACTTCTTTGCCAACTCACCCACCATGAGCGACATCACGTTCGGCGCTGTGTCAGAATACACCGATGTCCCCGATGCATCTAGAGCCCGATCGCATTTCTTGACGGGTCGTCACCGGGTGTTGTTGTACACTGAGCGCGCCCACCACTTCAGACGGTATCAGCTCCGTGGTGTGCAGAGGGTGATTTTCTATGGACTGCCGGATAACCCCATATTTTATCGAGAGATTGCCGGGGAGTATCTAGGCAAGAGCGAGCAGGATCTCAAGATCGAGCCCGGACAAGGAACGGTGCGGGTCATGTTTTCCAAATACGACGTAATGAAGTTGGAGAGAGTTGTGGGATCAAAGAGAGTTGGAAAGCTGATTCAAGAGCGTGGCGATACTTTTGATTTCGTGTAGAATACCAACTTGGGTAGCCGGGCAGGTTGCACAAATGTACGGACAAGTACGTGCTTTCCACGCTCATAAGAAGACAAGAGCCTGCTTGGAGAAAAGAAAACCATTACACCCCATTCCTCCTCAGGCGGCCTAGAAATTTTTCATCCTTCAGCTCCTCCAGCTCTATTCCAAAAAGAGCCGCAAATATAGGCGCCAGATCATGAGGCCCGCAAGGCCGAGCGTCGCCGCTAGCTCTTCGTTTGTCGAGGAAGTTCTGGAGCAAAGCGCAAAGCGCACCATATAGTGACTTTTCCAGTATAGCCTCGGTAGCACTGGAGTCGTCTGGTATAAGATGAGAGCTGATTTCTACATCGACTGTAGCATTCTTGATGGTTTCCGCCTCGGGGGCTGTGAAATAAGGTGTGCTGAGATAGTGCTCGTCGACCGTGGCGTTCAGTCTCCTTGCTGACGACGGATCCTTGGTAATGTTGAGAAGATCGTATAGTAGGACGCGGATCTTGTAGCCCAGAATACCGTCCGTTCTGAGGGCAGAGGTGGTTTGCGGTGCTGTTGGGGCAATAGTTGCTCCTCCAGTAGCGTTCTTTCTTGATCGCCTTGCTTTGGCCATTATTCTTGCCCAACTTTCTGATATATGTACCTTTAGGTATGTGTAGCTTGAATTCTGATTAGTTTTGATATTATGGCGAAATTCCAGTGCCGCAACAGCTTTGTATTTGAACTCGGGGCAAGATATGAACAGAATGAAGGAAAGCGCGAGTCACTGCCACTCGAAACAGTGCGACGAGGCCGGCTCAAGTATACTTAAATTCCCCAAAGATTAAGTTTAAGTTCCCGCTTGCATATAACCATGGCGTAGAAAGATTATATTACGGGAGTTAATTAGGCTGCCGTTTGATTTTGGGCTTGCCGTCGTCCTACAAATGTGGGCGGTTTAGCTGCGGTAGGCATAATAAAGTTTTGGCATTCGAGGTCGTGGAATCTTAGTGCCAAATTTCGTTGTAATTGGATTAGTGACAAGTTTCAGCACAGTTGATTTTCACCACAGGACCTCATGCCTCATCTACGCCTAAATGCAGTTGGCTGTTGCATGTATAAAATTGGAATGTACGGCGGAAGGGCATATGTTATTATGGTATGTATTAGCAATGAGGTAACCAGAGCCCTACTTGAGTAGACAAGTAGCTGCCGCGCTTTATACTACGATGTACTATGGTATACGGGGGTATACAGGTGAATAGGCAAATATATTCCTGCCATAAATCGTGAATAAGAATATACTAGTACACGGCGCATGATGACGCCCTCTCTACCGTCTTTTTTCTTTGCCACAGCCGCATCCCATCTAACTCTTGGCTTCCTTCTTTTGCGTCTTCACCTCTGCAGCAAGCTCCTGTGCTCTGGAACTCTCCTCGCCCGCGATCCGTGCCGCCTCCTCACTGTGTCCCTCCTCTGCAGCAGCCACATCAGACGTTTGCAAGGCCAGAAATCGCTGAACCATGTCTTCGAGGTCCTTTTCTCCCCGGAACTGTGTTACTTTCTTGATATTCTGCGCCGTCACGGGGGTGGATTCCCGTCCCAGGAGGCGATCTCTTGCGATTGTCTTGGCAGTCATCATGAATCGTGAGTCCTTCGGGCCGTCGACAAATTCGAGGATGGAGCTCTCGCCTTGGTCGTATGTGTTTTTCGGTTCGGTGCGGACGACACGGGTGTAGCCACCCTCTCGGGTAAGATATCTGTTTCGTAGTTCGCCAAAGAGTTTGGGCATCAGAATATGGGGCGTCTTTTGCATGCGGTCAGCTTCATCATCTATCGCGGTCTCGCGTGCGCCTCCAATGCCTGCGCAGACGAGGAGTGTGGGCGGCCACCAACGTAAAGAATTCCCTGCGCTGATCTCCTACATGGCTCATTATCCCTTTTGGCTAAAGTAATTAACTTCTCTGCCAGTCGCTGGGCCTCTTTTGCCTTTGCATGTGTCGTCTGAATGTGCTCGTACTGCACGAGCTGGGTGACCAGGCCTCGCAGCAGAGCTTTGCGGGCAGATGAGTTTCGGCTGAGATGCCGGTATTTGACGAGACCACCAGCCATTTTGCTAGCGCTGCAGTAAAAGAGCCAGCGTATTTATGCAATTGTTGGCTCTTGGACGTGTCGTTATTGAAGCGCTCGACGATGGACCTTTTCCAGCTGACGGACAAAAAGAGTCCATGGTAGTGTCGCCGATCAATTCAGGCAGGTGGTGAGCGAAGGTGGCCTGGGATTGGCCTAGGAGGCTTAGGAGGCTTAAGACTGGTCCAGCCACACTTTTGGCCTGGCTGCAGGAGGAACCTTGGCCGGCCCTGCCAGCATTGAAGCCCGGCTGATTTTCTGAGGCGGCAACTCGCCAAGCTCGGTGCCGGCGCCAAAAACGACGTCAACCGAGACAACGACCGAAAATCTTACCCATCGCCACCAAGTCCGCCCTCGAGTGCATCCCGCAACTTCCAATTGACTTGCCAACTTTGCTGCTGCAGAGCTACGCGCGTTCTGCGCATCATGAACTACGCGAAATAGACGGGGAATCTGCAGTTTCTTTTGTCGCGCCAATTGCCGTCTGAATATCTCGTGATCCGAGCACAAAAGCCTCACCCCGTGCTTGGGACCTGGGCTCTGCAACACCACCACCATGGGGTTCGCTACCGGCTTGGTGCGTTCCTGATTATTATGATTTTTGCAATTGGCAAATCGTTACCATGATTCGGCTAACCTAGTGGCTGCAGACTGGTGGCGTCACTCTGACACTGTCCCTCGCATATCTCTCCGTCCTCGCTCACCAGCGCAGCCGCGAAGAGCAAGGCCGATCTTTACGCTCCCAAGCCCTTGCTATCCAGAGCCTCATCGACCCCATTCCTCAACCATTACCACCCACCCGCTCCGAAGTTGCTGCAGCCAAGCGAGCCGAGGCGTTTGAAGTCGCCAAAGATCGTTGGAACGAGGAGGTTGAGAACGCTGTGAAATGGGTACAGCACACCGACTGGGACGAAGTTCGTGAGGGGCTTGAGGACCGGATTGGCGCTCTATGGGACAGAGCCTTTGGTGAATCGATAGAAGACAGCGCCTCCAAGGCCAAGAGCGAGGTTCAGTCAGTGTCGAAGAAGACCAAGGGCGAGGTAGAGAGTGCAGCAGGCAAGATTGCCTCCAAGGCAAAGGGCGCTTTTGAGAAGGCCAAGGCAGAAGGGGAGGATTTTGAGGCCAAAGTGAAGGATAATGCTTTGCAGGCGAGACTAGTTGCTTGGAGGGAGGCCCAGAAGGCCGAGAACGAAGCCCGTCAAAAGGCATCGGAGGCCCAAGGAGCCGTTGCCTCGGCACTGGAGAAGGGTAAGGAGAAGGCTAATGAGGTCGTAGGCAAGGTCAAATCTGCTGTTGGCCTCTCCGGCGCTGGTGCTGCTCCTGGAACTCTTGCTCTGCCAACATCGAACCCAGTTGCAAAGGCCCTGGATCAGAGATTTGAAAGGGTTGGCAGCGATAAGCGTACCGTTGCGGAGGTGCTGAAGGAGAGATATACGTCGATGGATAAGCGCGATAATACTGTGCTTCGAGGGTTATAGATGGCTTTGGTTTGGGCAGCCTTTCAACTCTTTTTTTTTTTTTCCCGTAGAGGAATGCAAAAATACGGCTCAGTTGGCGGAATGAGTAGTGTACTAGTACAATTTAGAGATTCAATTAGGATCAATGGATATATTGGCATAACTTGTTCGGCTTACTCCGTACTCGTGTGATGAAAGTGATGCCATTAAACCTGGCATAAAAGATAGTGAGTTGCGGGAAGGGTTTTCTGGCTCAAAGTTACATGCCATGATGACCGACATTTGAGCCACGTATTTCGTGTTAGAAGAGTCGGTATTAATGCCAAAGCTGAATACTCGCTTTAAGCCCGCCACAAGTAGCAGAGAGCTATACTATGAGGACATTTTGTCTTCTCAGATGTCCGTGCCCATGTAAAAACGCGTCATGATTAATCCCGTAGGCAGTTTCCCTATAGTATCTTACTTTAGATATCAAGCCGCAGTGCACGACGTTGGTTGCAATGACTGATTAGGTATTTCGCCACCTCCAAACAAGGTATACTTTACTGCCTCGCACATGCACTCCAGCGACCAAGGAATGCCTCTTGTTGTTGCGGCTCAGTCTCCTACTTTCTCGTACCAGACTCAATTGTTGAGTGGGGATATCTCGGGAAGTTGTTCGCCAGTCTACCAGGTCGATGCCGCCACAAATCGACGCAGCGAACTATGAAGTTATCGTGGATATTTGACGCCTCATGGCAACCGCGAGCCGAACTGGATCGACGCTCGCCATCCACCTAACGACCTGTAAAAAAATGTGTCTGTAATGCACAATGCCAAATCGGTGCCGAGCTGCAGGGCCGTCGTCGGAATCACAGGCACCTGAAAGCCAGTCAGCTTGGAGTCCTTCGAGGCCGATTACCCCCGCATTAGCATTTAGCGAGAGTTGATTGGACCAGACTCAGCATTGATGAGCCGACGGCCGTTCCGGAGCGGCAACGCCGCAGTTCCGAGGTACTTCCAGGCTCTGCTGAAGGTGCACACCGAGCCGTGTCACTGCTCTTTCCGCACTTGCACCCATCCAGTCAGCCGCAGCCAAACAAACCCGAACCAAAAACGACGCATTTGCCTTCATCCCCCTTCCAACAACTTTTTTTCTGCCCGCCTGCAAATCGCCAAAAATTCCCATAATCGCCCTTGTTTCTTGTTCCCTGAAATTTCCTCGGCCAGAAGAATCGATTTTCTGCAGGCTCCGGTCGTATCCACATCCAGGAGTATATTTGCGTCGCCTGTGTCGCAAGTTCTCCTGACCTCGCCTCCCGGGCTGCACACATTGCCACATTTTTTTCGCCTGCCATCATCAACACCGCTTTGTCGCTGGCGGCAATTATATCCTTTCGGCAGGAATCAATTGAGACCTTACACTATCCTACAACATCGCTCACAATGTCTTTCTCCAGTCTGGTTCAGGACCTCGCTCTCCGCGATGGTGGCTCTCGTCGACCAGCCCCACCCGCTTCCATCTCCACGGTCGATGACAGAACTTCACACATTTCTCGAGCCATGTCGTACACTAGCACCGCTGCCACTAGCGTCAGCATTTCTGGTGATATCGGAAGCCAGCTGCATGGCGGCTACTTCCATCCTCTTGCCCGTTCATGGCAGGCTGAGCGCCAACTGACCAAGGTGGGTTCAAGACATTCCCAATGACTATTGGCCCTTTTTGAGCTTGTTGTCACTAACCATGAACTTGTGCTATAGTCCATGTTCATTTACCCAATCTTCATTACCGATGGCGAGAATGACATGAATTTGGTACCCTCACTGCCTGGCCAGTATCAGTTGAGCGTCGATAAGCTCGTGCCGTTCCTCGAACCCCTCGTCCACAAAGGCCTTCGTTCTGTCATGCTTTTCGGTGTCCCCATGAAGCCTGGCACCAAGGATGCTCTCGGCAGCGCTGCTGACGACCCCGAGGGTCCTGTAATCCAGGCTATCCGCCTTATCCGACGCCGATTCCCCCAAATATTCATCTGCACCGACGTTTGTCTATGCGAATATACCTCTCACGGTCATTGCGGTATTCTGCGAGACGACGGCAGCCTGAACAACCAGCTTTCTGTTGATCGCATCTCTGATGTCGCTATTGCCTACGCCAAGGCCGGCGCTCACTGTGTTGCCCCTTCAGATATGAATGATGGGCGTATTCGCGCCATCAAGCTTAAGCTCATCGAGGAGGGTATTGCACACAAGACTACATTGATGTCCTACTCAGCCAAATTCTCAGGTTGTCTCTACGGCCCCTTCCGTGACGCCGCTGGTTCCGCCCCGTCTTTCGGAGACCGAAAATGCTACCAGCTTCCACCAAGCGGTCGCGGTCTTGCTCGCCGCGCCATTATCCGTGACATTACCGAAGGTGCCGATATCATCATGGTCAAGCCCGCCGGCCAATACCTCGACATCATCAGCGATGCCAAGGATTTGGGCAAGGATCTTCCAATTGCCGCCTACCAGGTCAGTGGTGAATATTCCATGATCCACGCCGCCGCCAAGGCTGGTGTGTTTGATCTCAAGGCTGCTGCTTTCGAGGCCACTGAGAGTATCCTCCGGGCTGGTGCTACCATTGTTGTCAGCTACTTTACTCCCCAGTTCCTGGATTGGCTGGAAAACTAGATGCACACGTCCAAATGAATTTTGTAATGATGGTATTCAAAGGGCATGGGAAAGGCGTTATGGAGCATTAATGGGATTGGGAACCGAAGCGATTTATGCTACTATTGGCGGTGTTTTTGTGTATAATGGGAAATGTAAATCCGGAAAACTTGCATGTCACCTATAAATAATGGTTAGGCACTTTGAATGGGGTGGGGCATCGATTGATAGCAGTTAGGACACGAAAAGGGCAAAATACAGAAGAGAATTGATGACCAGCTGTGTGATTTCCTTGTACGGACAAAGCATTGGCCCATGAGCGAAGATCCTTGTGTGCGCGAGTCGATCATCCCTCCCAGGGGGCTCCACGGTTCTTGTTGTGCGAATAAGGTGGTAAAGATTGCAGCACACTGGGCAGAACAAAAACCAGTCGAATGAGTCGAGTATGTTTGTGTTGTACAGCAAGCACTGTTTTCAATAAAGGGAGTTTTTCTCTTCCGTTTGTCGACACGACCTCAGTACTCGGTTTGTTTGTTAGTTTCTTTGTTCCCGATGGAGTGACGACTCTGCCGTCCTCCGGAAGTCTTTCTATTTCCCCAGCAAGGGTGTTGTCTCACTGGATATGTCAACTGGTAAAGTTGTTTGAACTCGTGTTTAAATGCAGCCAGAGTGACTTTACCGTCTTGACTCTTGACGGTTCACGGACGCAAACCTCGAGCGTCTGACGACGAAACGACTTCGGGGGGGAGTTGCTCGTATAGCCACCTTTGGAAAGCGCTAGATCCGCGCCTGCCAGAGTACTTCTCCATTCTACTACTCCATATTTCAGTTCCTCTTCCCCATCCGTCTCTCTCTTGCCCTGTTCCCTCTGCTTCCCTTCAACCACGCTGTTTGATAATCCTTCTTGCAGAGGGGAGAGGAGAGCGCGTTGATCGACGACCTGGCATTCTCTTTGCCTGAGCACGTGTCTTGCCTTCCCATTTTCGAATCAGATGCTGAAACTTTCAGGTCTCTTCTGTTCACCAACTCTATCCACTCTTTCGATGTGACACCCACCGTCATATCTTTGTTGATCCTTTCATCGCTCGATGCAGTGCTCCTCTCGCCTCCCCAAACCAAATTTCTGAAGCACCATCTTCTCTTGTATCGCCCATAGGTAGATACATTGCAGGACAATGAATCCAAGGGATGATTTGACGCCTACCTCTTCACAAGAAGAAAGTCTGGGGCTTTTAGACGACAAAATTAGCACGGATTCTGACAGTGAGGGCGGCAGCGTCACCGACGCCCAGTCTTGGTTCGGAGTCAGAGTTCAATACCCAGATTATTCCAAACATCTATGGACTGTTGCGGATCGCTGGAGTCACCTACGTTCAGCACCATGGCGAGTGCTCTCGATTCGAGTCGTTGTGTTCCTAATGCCGAGTTTCCTGCAGGGAAGGCATGCCCGCGAGCAATTATGCCCCCCTAAGCTCGCTCCTACGGCCTACCTAGACGGCATGAGAGGTCTGGCTGCTCTCTTTGTGTTTTTCTGCCATTACTCCTATCAGGCCTTTACAATTGCGAAAAGCTGGGGCACAGGGACTGACAACTACCACTTCTTGAAGCTCCCCTTCCTCAGACTATGGTATCAAGGACCCGTAGCCGTTTGCGTGTTCTTCGTCGTCTCAGGATACGCATTATCCTATCGACCAATTAAATTGATCCGAAGCGGCGCCCTTTCTGATTTTGCTACCACCATGAGCTCCCTGACCTTCCGCCGAGCCCTTCGCTTGTATCTACCAACTGCCGTTTCTACATTCATGATCATATGTCTGCTGAGAATCGGTGCCTACGAATGGACACGACAATTCGCTAGTAACCGAATGTATATGAAGAACATTGTCGAGCCTCATCCAGTTCGAATGGAGTCGCAGTACGCCCAATTCAGAGATTGGGCCCTTCACATGTACAATTTTGTTCACGTATTTGGTTGGGACGAACACGGCGGCAGCACATGTAAGATATTCTCTCCAAGTCAGGAAGCTCTATGCAATTGCTAACATTAGGCTCATAGCATATGATGTGCATCTATGGACTATTCCTCTCGAATTCCGATGCTCTCTATACTTGTTTCTTGTCATTATTGGCACCGCACGCCTGAGGACTAGTATTCGATTTTTGACTGTCGGGGGAATTATATGGTTCAGCTATCGGCATTCAAGATGGGAGCTGTGTTTGTTCCTGTGTGGCATGCTTCTTGCGGAGACGGACCATATTCGTGGTGCTCACATTCCTCTGCCTGCTTTGCCCCAGAGCGAAAAGCAGCCTATAATGTCTCGCGGTTGGGCCAAGAGTTTATTTTGGACTTCTGTCAGTGTCCTAGGCCTATATTTGATGTCGCAACCAGATGATGGTGGTGAGGTGGCCCCAGGTTGGGTCTATTTGACCTCACTCATTCCTGCGTGGTGGAAAGTAGAAAAATTCCGATACTGGCAATCTGCAGGCGCAGTTTTGTTTGTCCTGGCTGTGGGTCACTCTCGAGCATGGCAGAGATTCTTTAATTCTCCTGTTGTGCAATACTTTGGCAAGATTTCATACGCCTTGTATTTAATGCACGGCCCCGCAATGCACACGGTTGGCTATCATTGGGAGAAGATGGCGTATGGAATTACCGGTGTTGAAGGATATTGGTACAACATTGGCTTTTTCTTGGGCGCGGCCTTTACTATCCCCACGGTCATTTGGTGGGCTGATGTCTTCTGGAGGGCGGTGGACATTCCCACCGTCAAGTTTGCCAAATGGTTCGAAAGCAAGTGTATTACCAAAAATTGACAGGTCTGAAATGGGGCGGCAGAGCGACCTTATCAGCATGCTAAGCTGATCATGTATTACATGTTGGAACTAAATCAGCGGTGAAGCTTATTTTGGGCCTGGCGTCTTCGAAGCTTTGCTATGATGTTCCATGAAGAAAGACTGACTGGGACCAACTTTTTCTCACCAAATATTTTGGAGTTGAATTTGAACTGAATTTAGCAGTTCATTCTTGCGGCGCCCACGGGTAACTCAGAACTGTCCGCCGACAAGTACAACAGCTAAGATAGGTAGTGCCGGGTTCAGACTGGTTTATTAGCTATATCAATAGATACGACACTTACTTCTACCAGAGTAACTGGGTAGGACTCCTTATCATCAAATGAAATAGTTGAATCCTATTCGAAAGAAGAGACCCCCCTCTACCAAATAATGAAGGAGTTAATAAGATAAACATGCCTTTATGACGCCACTATCCATCTCTTGCGTATACCTTCTTTCCAGCAACCCAAGTCTCCCTGACTTGGAGGGTACGCAACTTCTCAATATCCAAGGCTTCGATTGGTTCGTCCAAAACAAGCCAATCAGCAAAGGCACCCTCTTTAATCAGGCCTGCCCTCCCTTCCAAGAAGGCTCCGTATGCTGTCGCACCAGTGAACCCCCACAGGGCCTGATCGAGGCTGAGCGCCTCATCCGTGTGCCAGCCTTGATGCGAACCATTCACGCCAAGCCCCGTGTCGGGGTTTTTTCGAGACACTGCGGCATAAATGCCATGAAACGGATTTGGCGGCTCCACAGGAAAATCGCTCCCAAGTATGGGATGAATGTCAAGCACAGACCGCATGCGGTAGGCCTCGTTGTCAGTGCGCTCAGGACCAAGTCTATCTAGGGCGTACTTCATGTCCGACGTAGCGTGGGTTGGCTGGATGGACGGGATAATGCCGAGTGAGTGCATGCGGGCCTGGTCATCGGGGTGGATGATTTGGGCGTGCTCGATGCGGAAGCGATGAGCGCGCTGGCAGGCGGCAAGGTCGGCGTCTGTGGTGGCCTGGGGGCATTGCTGTTTCAGGGCTTCAACGAAGGCGTCTATGGCGTTGCGGTTGGCGAGATCACCTATTGCATGGATGTTGACTTGGTAGCCGGCTGCGGCCCAGGACTTGGTGAGCGTCGTGAGCGCGCTCGCGTTCACCAGGAGGGAGCCGGATGTCCACGAATGGTCGGCGTACGGGGATATCATGGCAGAACCCCAGCTTCCGAGGGCACCATCTACATACTATTTTAATTTTTTTCTTTTTTAAGGGGGCGAAGAGGTTTCACTAGCGAGTTTTGCGCTGAGGGACTACAGAGTAAAACGTACCGGCGAAGAGTTTGACACTTTTGACGGTGAACCTTGAGTCATCTCTTTCGATTTGCGTGGTTTCTGAAGGGCAGAAGGTGTTCCTTTGGCGGCATTCGTACATGCCGTAGACTCGGAGTGTCCAGTCGTCCGAGTTGGCCATGTCACGGTATATGCTGATATCATCGGGTAGTGAACTGGCGTCGTGCATGCCCACTAGCCCGACTTGGTTGAGCTTAGATATGGCTGTTTTCACGGCGGCAGCTTTGCTTTTGGCGTCGGGCTTGGGCCAAAGCTTCACCACGTAGTCCATTGCGTTGTCGCAGAAGACGCCCATGCCCGGTTCGCGGATGATTTCGCCGCCGGGGATATCGGGCATGTCAGGTGGGAGGAGGTCCAGAACGGATTGCGACACCCATATGCAGTGAACATCGATGCGATCAAGCATCATGTAGGTGCCCTTGAGGTCGGGGTCATGTTCAATATCTGCCTTTAGGAGGGATTTAGTTGTCAGGTTGGAGAGACTTGGGCAAGATGGTGGCTAGAAGACTCACAGCCGTTGGCATGCGGCCGTAGACGTCCTGATCCCAGCCCACGCCTCGTATCCAGCGATCTTTTGTACCAACGCCAGGGTTTTTCTTGATGTAGGCCTTGATGCGTGCCTTGGCTTCCGAGAGACTCTTGGCGCCGAACAAGTCGACTGAGTGGAGGAATTCGCCATACGCCATGAGGTGGCCGTGTCCATCCCACAGCCCGGGCATCACATGGCCGTTGATGACGGTCTCGCTGGATGATTCCCCAGGCTTGGCCGGCGTGCGCTCGTCGTGGCTCCAGACGCGGCTGAAGACGCCGCCCTGAACGGAGAAGCATGTCGCTGAAGCTCGCTCCTCGT